CTCTTTGTTTGTGATTTTCCTATACACTTTGTATCTGATGCCGCTGGGCGTCCTCTCAATATGGACATCTAAGAAAGGTAAAGTATTGTTAGTTTCTTCTTCTAATGTAAACTGGATCCTCCTTTCCACAGCGTTCAGCTCAGCTAACTTTTCACTAAGATCAAGATTGTCTGGCACAACTAACAGGATGTCATCAACATACCTATACCAAACAACATCACCTCCCATGACGTTAAAATAATGGTCGGTCTCCATCATCTCCATGTATAGACATGCCGCCACTGGGCTTAATGGGGACCCCATGGCCAGACCGTGTATCTGTTGAAATTCTTCCCCGTTGAAAGAGAAAACCTGAAAGTCTAAACACAGTTGCACAAGCTGAATAAAGTGACTCTTAGTGACGGGGAAGTTTTCATCTGGGATGTTTTGAATAGCCTTCTTAATAGCAATGATCGCCTTTTCTACAGGGACACTGGTGAATAGCGCCTTAACGTCAAAACTAGCAAATTTCTTGCCACTCAAGTCTAGCTCACTTAGACGACTTAGCAAATCACCGGAATTCTTTAAATGAGAATCACTAACCGTTCCAAGTAACTGAGTTAGCGGTCTAGCTAGGACCTTTGCCAGGCGATGCGGAGCGCTTCCGATACCCGATGTAATCGGTCGCATTGGGATTCCGGGCTTGTGTACTTTAGGCAGTCCTCTCATCCTCGGGGCCACTGGTGCTTCCTCGAGAAGATGTTGTAGCTGTTTTCCCTTTGCCGAGCTTCGGAGTATCTTGCGGGCCTTTTTGTTGAACTCGACACTTTGACATCTGATCGTTCCAGTCACTATTTTCTTATACGTTTCCGGATCGCTGAGCAGGTCTTGCATTTTAGCATCGTAATCTGACTTGTCCATAACAATGACTCCACCTCCTTTATCCGCAGAAGTGACCACAATGTTATCATCTTTGGACAACTTGACTAATGCCTGCTTGAATCTTCTAGGGATAGCACTGGGCTCATGATCCGCTAAAGCTTTACAGCTAGTGACGATCCCCTGGATGAACCCCTTCTGTATCTCAGAGTCCTTGAAGTTCTGGTTTTTAATGAGATGCTCAGACAGTGATCGATTGTCCGTACCTGTATCAAATTTTAGTCCCAGAGACAGGGCCTGCTTCTCGTCGTTCGTTAGAGTTCGGGATGATAGATTTGTTATGATTTCGCTTCGTCCTGCTCCGGCCCAATCACTTTCAAGACATAGCTTGTTCAGCTTTCGATTTAGCCTCTCTTTTTGGTTGACGTTAAACTCTTTAAGTTTTTTTTTTTTTTTTTTTTTTCCTAACTACACCGCCACCCATTAATAGGTGACCAGGAGTGCCCCCTCCCTCAGCCCAGCGACTCACAGAACCTTACTTTACCACCAGAGAAAACATAAAAATGGCAAAGTCGCGGCACTCCCTGCTAAGAAACGGAAAACAACTCAAAATAAGCAACCAGTCGGTAAGAGGAAGTATGGTTAGTTAGAAGAAAAAAAAAACGGCAAAAGATGTCCCCGCTGAAAGCAGCGGGAGACTAAATCACTACTTCCAATACCATGTTTTATGATGTAAAAGAACACTCATTCAGGGTTAGTAAAGGGACACATACATACACACAAAGCACAGGTTCTGGTCAGTATTCTGCAAAAGGTCATGTGTGACCGGATGAACCCTTCCAGCTAAGCAGAGCTTGTTGCTGGTCGGGGTCACCGGTCACAACGCCGTAAGGGTGGGTTCGGTGTAAGCCACAGTCACTATGGCTGACAGGCTACGCTATACGAGTAGGTGTTTGGAGGAGTTGAATAAAAAACTACAACGTGATACAACGCATGCATATTATTCTATTTGAAAGTACCTTATTTATTTGCACATTTTACTATTGATTATTGAACTTATGTAAACAAAAGCTACACAGGGTGTTCTAGGAAATACTCCTTACTTATTTTCTTTACTTGCAATTTAGACATGTTGATAATGCATTGAGCGTTAAATTGAGTTGCCATAATTTTATTCCAGATGCGAGGCCCAAGCCATGTTACATTACGAGTGCAGTATAATCTTTTTATAAATGGTTCAATGAACTGTTGACGATTTCTGGTCCTTGAATCGCTAGGGTCACTAAGGGTAAATAATCCACCAACAGATGATGGGAGAGAAAAAGAAAGTTTTCTGTGCATTAAGATAATAGCCTGCTGTTTTGCTATATTATGAACTTTGAGAAGCTTAAGGCTTTTGAAAATTTCCTCTGTGTGTGCTAAACGATGTTGATGAGTAATAATACGAATGGCTCGCTTCTGAAGCAACTCAATTTTGTTTAAGTAAGAAGGAAATGTGAATCCCCACACCACACAACAATAATTGATGTATGGTAAGACCAGTGAATTGTACAAAAGAGTTAGCAAATGAGTATCAAGGAAAAATTTTGCTCTGCTCATTACCCCAATGTTACGACTGATAACTGTTGTTAAGTGGTCAATATGGAGATTCCATTTAAGGTTCGGATCTATAATCATTCCTAAGTACTTGACTGATTGAACAGCCTCAATAGGATCACCATTTAATGTTACATTAAGTTCTGCTGGATTGAGTGTATTATTGTAGATTTGATACACTGTTTTCTTTGTGTTGAGGCTAAGTTTATTTGCTTGCAACCACGTGCATATAATGGGCAATTCAACGTCAATCATATTTTGAAGCTGGAACGCTGTTCCACCTTCAAAAATGAAGACTGTATCATCTGCATACAGTAAACATTGTGCTGTTTTACAAATATTTGGAAGATCATTTACATAAAGTAAGAAAAGCAAAGGACCAAGAATGGAGCCCTGGGGTACACCAATGTTTACATTTTCTATTGAAGATCTTGCACTGTTATATTCTACGCATTGTTTTCTATTAGTAAGGTAAGATTCTATCAGGCTAAGTGCTTGCTCAACAATGCCATATTTGCTGCATTTTCTTATTAGTATGTCATGATCTACAGTATCAAATGCTTTTTTTAAATCGATGTACAGAGCTATGGCAATGTTGCCTTTTTCAAATACTTTCATTATTGTATCCTGCAGGAGAAGTATGGGCATATATGTTGAAAGTGACTTTTGAAAGCCAAATTGGCTAGCAGACAATATATTATGTTGCAGGAGATATTCCATGAGTCTTTTGTGAATTATCTTTTCAACAAGTTTTGAGATATAAGGCAAAATACTTATTGGTCTATAGTTACACATGCTGCTTTTGTTGCCAGCTTTGTAAATAGGTTTGACAACTGCAATTTTCATGTTTTCTGGGAAGATACCTTTTTCCAAGCAGAGATTAACCAAGTGCACAAGTTCAGGTATTATTGTAGAGTAGGTAGACTTGAATATCTTTGCATTTATACCATCTATACCTGAGCCAACATTTTTCATGGCTTTGATGATCGAGTTTAGCTCAGCTGAATTAGTAGGCTCAAATTTGGATATATGCTCAGCATGATCACTTATTATATAACTTAAAGGGTCAGTGTTGCTTGGAGGAATTTCATTTTTCAGTTTTTCACATATTGAAATGAAATATTTGTTAAATGAAGCAGCTATGTCATTTTCATCATCCAGTTGTGTACCATTTTCATTGACAAAGCTACTGGGCAAGGACTGCCTACTGCATCCTCCCATGGCACATTTTTTCAAAAGCTCCCACATTTTCTTGGAGTTAGATTTATTTTCTTGAAATTGATTTTTGAAATAATTTTTCTTTGCTACTTTTATGATAATGTTAAGGCAGTTCCTATGCCTATTGTAGGCAAGCTTATTCTCTGTGGTTGGGTTTTTATTTTTTTCTTTGTACAAAAACACTCTCCTATTGATAGATGTTAGTATTGCTGGAGTTATCCAGGGTTTTATAGCTTTACTTTTTCTTGTGCATTTTATTTCAGTGCTAAACATCTTTATTCCTGAGGAGTATGCATCTATGAGAATGTTTGAGGCAATGTTTGGATCTGTAGTTTGTGAGAAATTTTGCAGATGCTCAGTAATATAGTCTTTGAGATTGTCCATTCTGTTTTCATTGAAGATGAGCTTATAAGTGTCATGTCTTTTGGCATCTTTGTGAGGGTAAGAGCAGGTAAAGATAGGAAAGTGATCAGAGAGATCTTCATATATAATCCCAGAGCAGGAGACCAGTTCAATATTGTTGCAAAAAATATTATCAAGCAGAGAACCCCTTTCATCAGAGATTCTTGTTGTTTTAAAGATAGTTGGCCAGAAGCCATGAAAAGCAAGTGTATTGAAGAATTCTAATGTTTTGTTATTATTTGCAATATTGAAGAGGTCATGGTTAAAGTCACCTGCCAGGAAGGTTGTCTTATTCTCATGATTTATATTCTCAAGCAACGATTCAAGTTCACAACAAAAAATGTCACTGTCCAAGTCTGGAGGTTTGTATATAGCTCCAACAATGCATGTTGGATAACTATCGACTTGGCATTCTATGATAACTGATTGAGTACATTGTAGGGTTTTAATTTTAGATCTGAGTGAATGTTTAACTGATTCAGTATTTACATAAATTGCCACCCCACCTCCTATTTTGCCATTCCTGTTCTCAAAATAACCTGTATATCCAGGAAGTTGTCTATTAGAAATTTGGTCGTCCGATAACCATGTTTCAGTGATGCAAATGATATGCCAAACACAATGACTTCTGGTCAAAAACAACTGAAGTTCTTCAAATTTATCATTTGAGCAAATAGACCTGGCATTTATATGAATGATATTCAAAAAATAGTGTGATGATTTATTTGTATCAAACATTGACGGAAGGGAGAAATAGCCACAAGAGGATTGTAGGGTTTTAAAGCTGTTGTCATCAACCTGCAGTTCAGGTGAGGTGATATTGGCAAAGGGATTAAATTGTTGGCTATTTAGAGGTTCTGGGATATCAGAACACTCTACGAGGTTCATGACCAATGACTAGGTATACTGTAATTTAGGTACTATACCTTGTTTTACGGATTTTCTGATAGGACAGACCAAGAGACCAAAAAAGCAGGCACTCTCGGTACTCGGGGAAGCCCAGTTCAAGCGTTTTGTCAGAGGGGCCAGATAAAAGAAGAACTTTAGTAGTGGGATTTATTTTTACACTAATTTCAAGCTAATTTTTACTATAAACTGCAATACTTTGTAATGCTTGAAATGTTGAAACTACAAATGGAAACAAAATGGCTCAAACTCGAGCAGTGAGTTCTAACTTATTTTTATAAATTAGTCTTCTAAACACACTTTTATTTGGAATGAGAAGATATGTACCTATGTCACGTGACATATGCAACAGAGGCACAATTAATCCAACCTTGAATTGCTGCTATTTGTGAATCACGTGGCGTGTGTACTATGATCTGTTGGTAAACAAAGGCAATGCATATTGATATAGGTACTGGAGGATAGATATTAGATATGTAGGTAGCTATGATGTTTGTTTATGTTTATGTAAGTCTGGAAGAGTATGCAGCAAGACCTCATTCAACAACAGAGTCAGGGTTATGTATACCAGATTATATGAAGTAAGTTGAAGTATAAAGGAACAGGTAATGTTGAGTGTTATGAACTTAAATGGAGATTTGATTACTTTTTTATCTGAGCAATGCTGCACCAAAAGTGCATCTTGTGGCACAGCATACTTTCAACCTTAGCATATGCTACTTCAAGTTATAGTAGTAATGTATTTTGTATTATTGTATTATATTGTAGTATTATTGTAGTATGTATTATGTTATGTATGCTGATCAGTGCAAAGTGCAGGCACATGTAGCACATATTGCTATAAGCCATCAGGCAGCATATTGGTCAACAACAGCAATCCATGTGATTGAGTGACCATTCATGTGGCCAAGCGCCACTAGGGGCATGCACCAGACAGGAATCCGACCAGGAGCAACTCCTTAAGGGTTAGCAGCTCAATAATGCTGATAAAGATTATGAACAAGGCAAGCCACCCAGTCTCCTGGTTAAAATGTTTAAAATGGCCTTTCTGCCAGGCACTGGTGCATATTTCAGCACCCATGTATGCATTCCATTCACACATTCATTCCACGTGCAGCCACGCAGCTCCAATAGCACTCTGGCAGAGCTGGCAGCTGCACGCCTGGGTGGCTCATATAAGATCAAGGTGATCATTTACTATCAGAGAACCAATTAAGAAGAGCTCCAGTAAAGGGTCAGATATCTCTGCCAATGCACGCCCCAATATCCAGTGCCCATTTCCTGCAACTGACACTATATGCCACTTGGGTAGCAAGATCAGCACCTGCATTGTTGTGTTTGCACCATAATGAATTAATTGTGGCACATTGTATAATGTGTATATGTATGCATGGTATTATTTTAAGATGCGGAAGGTTGAAAGTATGCCGACACTCCAGTCTACGCCACAAACATTGCTCAGATGCTGCATAATGCTAGGTTGCTACTCACACTGATCTTGTGCTTAGTTCCCCTTCTTCGTCTGCCGGTTAGACCGGGTAGAGGGCACCACATACTCTTCCAGGTTGGTTGTCTTGCTAGCTACAAATCCTTTAGGGATGTCTGAGAGTGTCTGGGAGCGCATGAAGTTGCTGCCCTGGTTACTTTGTTGTGTGGTTTTGTTGGCTGCCTTTTGAAGAGTTGCTTTCACATCTCTCTCTGACAGCCATGGCTGGATGCGGGTGTAGCGCTTTTCAGCGGAGTCTCTAGCCATGATGTTTCCATTTCTAGTATAGTAGTTGAGCACCTCCTTGCGCTTTCTCATTTCCTCCAGCATTGTAATCATTTTGGCTCTTTTCTCAGTTAAGTTTTCATGCACAGTGATTTTTTCTCCTGGCTGGCCCCCCTGATCAAATTTTGACTGGTAGACTGCCTCCCTGTCATCATGGTCCTGGAACTTCACAACTACTCGTTTTTTGTTGCGAAGGCGGTGGCATGCTACTATTTCTCCCTTCATGTCTACTTTCAGTTTTTCCTTGATGATTTTCTTGACAGTCTCTCTAGTCTCACTAGGAGTTTCCCCCTCTTCACCCTCAGGGAAAGCCCCACCCAGAATCAGAGAGGTCTTTCGGTTATACTGCTCAACCTCGTCTAGGTTTCTATCCACCTTTGTTATCTCCTCCCACAGCTTTTTGTTTTCCGTTTTCAAGTTTTCAATCACCTCACTGCTCTTTTTTTGTTCTTTTTTTACTTTTTCTAACTCATCCCTCAAAACCGAAGTCTCCTTCTCCACCGCCTCCATCACCAGCTTTTTTATCATCTCACTATCCATCACTGGGCCTCCCCGTAATACTCAAACTAAAGGATTGAGAAACTGAAAAAACTGAAACTGCTCAATGCACAATCTAGTGTCCTAGCCTTAAGTTATAGATCAAATATAATGGTCCTAACGGTCCTAAATTTACTTGAAGTGAACAAAAATCAGTAAGTACTCCCTTCGCAGTGCGCCAATATCGTCGTCAGAACACCTCTCGCTGGACCCGTCCGCTCGCAAGCGCGTCAGGAGACCGAATGAAGTTCTTCGGCGTGTTTTCTAGACATATTACCGCCTTGGTATTCTTCACGTTTAAGTATTATCTCATCTCGAAGGTTGGAACATGCTTCTTCCAAGTAAGCACGGGCTGATCTCGTGAACGGTGAGTTCTTGCTTCTCAGATGCGGCGGCGCTGATTTAGGTAAGACTTGCTCTGCTAAGCACTGTTTTAGAAAAATTAAGCGATTACAAAGGCTGGCTAGCTTCTTTCGGACTAAGAATTCCTGAGATATGTTCACATTATCACTGTTAGACATATTGTGGTATGACAGTTTGACGTTTGTGAAAAGCGATAATGTGAACACATATATATTGCACAAACCGGTTTCGATATCACTTCATCAGTGTGCAAATATATAAATAAAACACACAAAATACAAAACGGAGACGAAATAGGTACAGCACGTACAGCAGAGCAAATTAATTTCAAATACATTCATATGACCTCATGTGATTGAGATCCCAAGACGCTTCCGCACCAAAAGAACGGCTAAACTTTTTCCCAATCGTATGTCACCAGCTTTGGAATTTACACACAAACAAGATTCAATGAGGGACGATTCAATCGTTTTTCTATCGGACCTACTTAACCTATCTCGTATGATCTCAGTGCGATCCCAATCAGGTAGACTACCACACTTTTCGGCATGTTTCACCATTGCATTGTTAATATTGTGGTTCCTAAAATCTCTCTTGTGCTCCATTAACCTGTTCTTAAGCCCTCTCGACGTTTCACCGAAATAAGGCTGTGTACACCCCTTGCACGGTATTTTATACACTAAACTTGTTTCACTACGGTCACACTTTTTCTTTTTTGCTACAACCTGACCAATCTTCTCCCCAGCCTTTTCCACAATCTGAATATCGGAGCACTTCAACATCTTTGATAATGCTTCACAATTCTGTGACCTGGGTACAACAACTAAAGCGTTCTTTGTCTTTCTGTTTGTTTCGTTTCCCGTCCTATTCTTGATCCTTTTTGCCTTATTATAGCATTCAATTATAAATGCCCTGGGGTACCTCAAACCTCTAAAAACGTCAGTGATATGATCACATTCTTCCTTCAGATTTTCGGGACTACATATTCTCATCGCTCTGAGGAAGAATCCAATCACTACCCCCGATTTCGTTCTCCTGCTATGAGCTGAAAAGAAATGAATATAGTCCTCTTTGTTTGTGATTTTCCTATACACTTTGTATCTGATGCCGCTGGGCGTCCTCTCAATATGGACATCTAAGAAAGGTAAAGTATTGTTAGTTTCTTCTTCTAATGTAAACTGGATCCTCCTTTCCACAGCGTTCAGCTCAGCTAACTTTTCACTAAGATCAAGATTGTCTGGCACAACTAACAGGATGTCATCAACATACCTATACCAAACAACATCACCTCCCATGACGTTAAAATAATGGTCGGTCTCCATCATCTCCATGTATAGACATGCCGCCACTGGGCTTAATGGGGACCCCATGGCCAGACCGTGTATCTGTTGAAATTCTTCCCCGTTGAAAGAGAAAACCTGAAAGTCTAAACACAGTTGCACAAGCTGAATAAAGTGACTCTTAGTGACGGGGAAGTTTTCATCTGGGATGTTTTGAATAGCCTTCTTAATAGCAATGATCGCCTTTTCTACAGGGACACTGGTGAATAGCGCCTTAACGTCAAAACTAGCAAATTTCTTGCCACTCAAGTCTAGCTCACTTAGACGACTTAGCAAATCACCGGAATTCTTTAAATGAGAATCACTAACCGTTCCAAGTAACTGAGTTAGCGGTCTAGCTAGGACCTTTGCCAGGCGATGCGGAGCGCTTCCGATACCCGATGTAATCGGTCGCATTGGGATTCCGGGCTTGTGTACTTTAGGCAGTCCTCTCATCCTCGGGGCCACTGGTGCTTCCTCGAGAAGATGTTGTAGCTGTTTTCCCTTTGCCGAGCTTCGGAGTATCTTGCGGGCCTTTTTGTTGAACTCGACACTTTGACATCTGATCGTTCCAGTCACTATTTTCTTATACGTTTCCGGATCGCTGAGCAGGTCTTGCATTTTAGCATCGTAATCTGACTTGTCCATAACAATGACTCCACCTCCTTTATCCGCAGAAGTGACCACAATGTTATCATCTTTGGACAACTTGACTAATGCCTGCTTGAATCTTCTAGGGATAGCACTGGGCTCATGATCCGCTAAAGCTTTACAGCTAGTGACGATCCCCTGGATGAACCCCTTCTGTATCTCAGAGTCCTTGAAGTTCTGGTTTTTAATGAGATGCTCAGACAGTGATCGATTGTCCGTACCTGTATCAAATTTTAGTCCCAGAGACAGGGCCTGCTTCTCGTCGTTCGTTAGAGTTCGGGATGATAGATTTGTTATGATTTCGCTTCGTCCTGCTCCGGCCCAATCACTTTCAAGACATAGCTTGTTCAGCTTTCGATTTAGCCTCTCTTTTTGGTTGACGTTAAACTCTTTAAGTTCTTCGGCGTGTTTTCTAGACATATTACCGCCTTGGTATTCTTCACGTTTAAGTATTATCTCATCTCGAAGGTTGGAACATGCTTCTCTTAAACGTGAAGAATACCAAGGCGGTAATATGTCTAGAAAACACGCCGAAGAACTTAAAGAGTTTAACGTCAACCAAAAAGAGAGGCTAAATCGAAAGCTGAACAAGCTATGTCTTGAAAGTGATTGGGCCGGAGCAGGACGAAGCGAAATCATAACAAATCTATCATCCCGAACTCTAACGAACGACGAGAAGCAGGCCCTGTCTCTGGGACTAAAATTTGATACAGGTACGGACAATCGATCACTGTCTGAGCATCTCATTAAAAACCAGAACTTCAAGGACTCTGAGATACAGAAGGGGTTCATCCAGGGGATCGTCACTAGCTGTAAAGCTTTAGCGGATCATGAGCCCAGTGCTATCCCTAGAAGATTCAAGCAGGCATTAGTCAAGTTGTCCAAAGATGATAACATTGTGGTCACTTCTGCGGATAAAGGAGGTGGAGTCATTGTTATGGACAAGTCAGATTACGAT